TGATACTCGTAACAGCAGAAAAAGGCTACCCGCAAGCCCCAGCAAACCCAAACTTTAAATTCTTTCATTCGTCGATTCGTGTAGCTTACACGAAGGGAGTAACCTTCGACTCTGGAGCCATACGTCTGACATGCCCAGGTGGCAGCCTTGCTGCACGCAGCGGTAGCTGCCTCCACTCCGAGACTTCGAGGCCGGCACTATAATCCCGTGCATTCGCAATGCACGGGGTTATATTGCATGGTAATAGTATAATACCATAGGACCGTGAACGAAAACGTAAATTAAACCCTCAGCCTTTAAGGTCCAAGTTTCAGGGTAGTCCAAAGTAACATCTTTGTCCGTCGTGGTCCTGGGTCCTAGGATTCGCCTTCGGCTTAATTAATGCCCTCGTGATAAGGTCTGATAGCCTTCAGGGATTCCAAAGCCATATTATATGCTATAGGTGCGATAATAAGGTAAGGGTTGCTACATACCTACGAGGTGTGCGAACCCGAATCCAAAATGGCGCTGCAAGCGTACAACCTACCCAACATCCCCGTCCCCTAATATCTTAAACATACATCTTAGAATCGTTGGGACGGATCCAAATGAGTAAGGCGTTGTAATTTACGGGCTTCGACTTACATTTGCGGTGTCACAACTCGGTGTAGCCAGGCGAGGTCCATAGCTGCAGGAATGAGGAAGGCCGTGAAACAGACTGCAACCTTTCCTTAGTTGTAGGTTCAGGGTTGTGGCTTTGGGACAGTTAAAATTTAGGCTTGGCTAAGCTAAATGAAATCGAAGCCAATGTTTGGAGCTGGGGACCACCTCAACCTGGCACTCCCTTACTAATTCACGAATCATTTGGAGGACGATATCCCAATCCCCTAATTGGCCTTCCTAGCCCTAGTCCGGGCATTCGGTCCTAAGTTCTGATTTTGGAGATGCAGTCGTTTCAGTATTCTGTACTCTGTATTCGTGGGCCTATTATTTCGGTTGGGTGGGGGATGGGGGGGGGAGAGGGCGAGATTGAATTCGGCAAGGTTTTCTAGGGTTATTATGTTGAGGCTTTGCACTTTACGGTCCGTGGGAAACAGGGACAGGATAATCGGATAGGGCGAGATCCAATGGAATTCTGCAATTTTTTAGAGGGTTTGTATAAGTATAAAAGTATACGGTTCAGGGTTTTGGGTTTAGGGTGTAGGCTTTAGGTTTTGGGGTCCGTGGGACACGGGGGGTATAGAGGGCGACATTGACTTCTGCAAAGATTTTTAAGCGTTTGACAGGGTTTCCCAAAATTTGGGTTGAGGTTTGAAGCTTTAAGTTTAGGGTCTAGGGCCGTCTAGGGTTGAGGGTTTGGACTGCAAGATCGGCAGTGCGGAGAATGCACCACTGGATGCCATCATGGTTTTGCAGAGTCGGCTCCGAAACGGCGATGCCACAAATACAGAATTGAGCAGCTTCAGAAGAAAGCAGTGCACTGAGTTCCCGGCCTTTGTGAGGCGGCGACATTGGGCCACAGCACTTCGTTTGTGAAAGAGGAATCACAGCTGGAGCTGGACATCTCAGGCCCTCGTGGCATCGACTTCGACCCGGACGGAGGTGTCCAGAGGTTTCAGGCAGGCACATGCAGACAGACGTATTTAAGTGGCTGCATAGGCGGTGGCATCACGAAGCACTAAGATCATTAGCAAAAGTAAGATTCAAGACATGTCTATTCGGTTGCATGTCCCTACCTCCCCCCTGCCGGGGGGGCCCGCTGCTGTCCGCGCCCCGCGACGAAGGCAGAGATGTGCTAGGGTGCTAGGATAGGATAGTCCTTAAGCCCTTAGTCAGCCTGCACATCCCCCACACAAATGAATGCCACCAGCAGCAGGACATTGACATGTTGCATGGGGCCCTCAGTTTCAATGCAGACTGAGAGGCTCAAGTCCTGAAATCGTAACCCGCGAAGCCCCATTGGCCCATAAGAACAGCAACCCTAAAGTCCCACCCCTACAATGCCCATACGGCACCCTAAACACGGAACCCTACTACTACAGCACCAAACCCAGATTCCGACTTCTGAAGACTTTTTGCATAATCCCGAAATTTAAAACCCCTAATCCCCAACCCTAGGTGCACAGCAGCTGACCGCCCCGGCTGGAAGACGATGCGGTCAGCACAGGCGGGCTCGAGCAGCACCGCGATACTACTCCGACATTGTGCTTGCAATCAATAGGCCTCATATGGACTACTTCGGGCTCTGCAAATGAATAAAAATATATGGTTACTGCTGGTCCTTGATACTTCTTTACTCGAAGCTATATCGTTCATTGGATTGGACCAATGTTTGGGATTCGGCCACTGGGTGATTGAAAGGCGCTTCATTCTCAAGCCTTGCCTGCCGCATGCAAGCTCTTGTATTCGTGCGTAAGCACGCACACAACTGGTGGCTATGTTCACACGATCACACACAGGATTGCCTACACCTTAGGAGTTCCCGATCGTCTTAGGGGTCCGGGGTCCAGCAATGCCTTCGGCACAAATAACCCACACACCGTAATCTCGGGTGACGCCCAAACTTCAAACTCTCAGGCTAGATCCTAGACACTAATTCCCTCTAGATCCTCAACCCCTTACTCCCTAAAGCCCGAAAACTTACATAAGCCGTGCAACCCTCCAGACATCTCAAATCCTAGGCCTAGCTGCAAAGATGAGGACATGCTGCTAGCATTCAGGGTCTGGGGCTGCATAAGGACCTCAAAAAGTTATTAGAATTCAGGGTTGCGCCTGCACAAGGTGATAGATTAGAATCAAAGATCAGATCTCTAGTTTAAATCAAATCAATACTTTGCATGCTGCTAGGATAGAGGGGTTTCGCCTGCAGAAGGTGATAGGTATAACGATCTCTAATGTGTGCTAGGATTCAGGGGGTCACACGTTTCTAGATCTTCAGTGGTTGCGCCTGCGTCATCAGTTTGAAGCTTTTGAAATGCTGCTATGATTCAGGGGTTGGGCCTGCAAAAGGTGCTAGGTGTCAAGATGTAAGCTGCTAGGATTGATTGAGGGGTTGCACCTGCAGAAGGTTACAGGTTTCAACTAGTTTTATAAATGATCCTTGGGTTCAGGGGTTGCGTCTGCGAAAGGTGATTTAGAAATGCTCCTGGAATTGAGGGGTTGCGCCTGCGGAAGGTGATAGGTCTAAAGATCTCTGGTGCTAGGATCGAGAGGTTGCGCCTGCACAAGGTGATAGCTGTGAAGATTTTAAATTGCTGCTAGGATTGACAGGCTGGGTTGCGAAAAGTGACAGGTTTCACGAGAGCTGCTGCTAGGATGGAGGGGTTGTGCCTGTAGAAGGTGATAATTTTAAGTATTTGTAAATGCTACTGGGATTCTGGGCTTGTCCGTACACAAGGTGATAGGTTTAGAGAAATCTCTGTTGCTAGGATTGAGAGGTTGCGCCTGCACAAGGTGATGCCAATCAAGGGGTTTTAGTTGGTATTGCAGGGAAACGTTCCTTTATTGTCTGCCCGGCCATGATGTTGTAGTACCGCACATGCTCATGGAGCATATTGGGCTGTGCATGGGGCATAGAAGCAACCCCTGAAGTACTCACCAGCAGGCAAAGCGCCCGAGGGCTCCAATAAAGTGTAGGCGACCTAAGTGTCGACTCCTTTTGGCATGAACTGCTGCAAGGATTCTCCGTCGTCTTCTCCCTCTGCCCAACCGCCTGTGCCCCAAAAGGGCCTTTAAAAGTAGTTCATGTATGTCCCGCTAAATTCCTGCGCACTGCCGTTCTGCAGACTCAATCGGGTTCCAGAATAATAGCTTCTTTTTCCAAGGGTTTGGCCTGGCCTGGCCGCCATAGTCTTAGAGTCTTGGACCGGGATCCTTGTGGGAAGACATGAGGTCAACCTATACTCCAAACCGTTGTAATGCCCGATAATGCCGAAAGGGTTTTTCTGCGTTGCTGACATTTGAGGAGTCATTGTCCTTGAGTTTGGGTCTGTGCCTTTGTTGTAAAACGAGCAAGCCCCAAAGGCATGTTTCCCCCAAATCAAAAACCACCCGGTGGCCCAATTCTGGCCCGAGTTCGCATGTGTGCTCCTATGCCTGCTGCTTACTTAATGGTGTTGGCGATTCTATACTAGTCGATGTTGATGAGGATGCTTAGCATCTAAGTAAATTAATTCATCCGTCTGTACTTGACTGACTTGGAAGCCGTGCAGTGGGGGTCATGGCTTCTGCGTCGGATTCCATCATTCCTCGAGGGAATGATTCGTTTGACGCAGCGGAGCACAGGAAGATCGTGCGTGTCAAGCTTCTCGCCGCCTTGAAAATGGACAGAGACTTGAAAAGGGCAACAATGCGGAGGAAGCGCTTCACAAGGGCCACCAAGAACAAGGTCAGTCAAAAGGGCATCAAGATGAACATGGCTCCTCTGCGTCAGATAATAGCGGACCTCGCATAAGCCTGTCGCGGTCCAGGGCTACATTCCTTAACTTCACTAGAGAGAATTCAGACAAGAGGGGCAAAGTTACATTAACAAATCCTACCCATGTTGGGGTTTTCCTGGACGGGTTACGGTCATCTTCCCTACCCTTGATTGACTAGAGCCTCATCACTTCCAGGCAGTTCTGAAGCACTTCGCAGTGGCGTGGGCCAGGCATCGCTACCTGCTTACAGTGCCCAGGATCAAGGCCGTCCTGCGGAAGATCGCTTGGGAAAAATGGAAGGCAGCTTGCCGTTGCTTGCAGGGTCATTTCATCATTTACTGAGCTCACTGGTCTTATTATTGTTTCGGGTTCAGGGCTCCTGCCTTAGAGGGTTTATGCTGAAGCTACCGGTCAGGGTTCAGGGTTTAGTGCGCTTGAGGGTGCCTCACGTCTTACTTCTGTCAGCCTCCGGCCTGCCTGGCGGCCATTGTCAATCAAGGCCGATGTATCCGAGCAGCAGATCCGGGATGATGCTGCAGCCATCAAGAGCCTGCTCGGCCTCTTCAAGCGTGACTTGCACTGCAATGTCATGCTTCCACGTCAATGAATGCCCAGGATGCTAGAATGCATGTGCCAAGTTGGCGTGGCCATGACCGCAAGGCCTCGCGGAGCGTTGCTTCGAGCACAAGGATTCGGAAATGCAGAATCTCAGAGTGTCTCGGATTGACAAAGAGGGCCGTTTCTGAAGTGCCACCTGCCCCAAACGTTTCATGTGCTGGGAAACCAGTGGACCAGGATCTCATGCAGCAAAGCATCGACAAGGACTGCCAGATGTCCCTCGAGCTGAAGATGAAGTTTCGCGTCGGCTCCCGTGCCAAAGACCAGGGCTCCAGTGCCCAAGACGATGCAGCAGATCCTCTTCCGCCCTCTGCCAAGTAATATAAGAAGTTTGTCTTGAAAGCATGTCACTTCTGGTACTTGAGAATTTCCTGTCTTCATTTCCCAGTCCTTGCTTGTTCTGGAGGCTCCAGGATGTCGTCCCTGCTCCCAAGCCGAAGAAGCAGAACATCCAGGCGGAGCGCGTGGTCCTGTCGGATGCAGAGCTTTCAGAGCTCAAGAAGACTCTTGGACCGGCCCGAGCAATCAGTCACGAGTAAGCCATGGATTCCTTAGACTAGATAATTGATCAATGCGGAGAGCCATGTGCTGTCATCTTAGGATGGTGCGGAGCACAGCGTCGTATCGCATAGAAGTGCGATGGACTGCTCGCACTCCCTCTGCCTGTGTGCGAGGGCGCAAGATGCAGAAATCCATGCTACATAGCCGCAAGCAGCCAGCATCAGGAGAATGTCACTGTCACGTAATACAAGACGTGTTGCATCTGTCTTGAGGTTTTCGATCAGCCACGACAGCTTTCAGGTGTGCATCTTGGTGGCGAATGCCGTCGCCTTCTTCTTGGAGGCCTGCCCGTCGCCGAGTCGCCACGTGGCTAAGCTCACCGGGGACAAGGAGCTCGCCCGCATCCTGCAGAAGTACGCGTCCGACCTCGCAGAAGGTGCCCTGTGAGCCGTGCAGAGACCAGAGAGACAAATCTTCCAGGACTCGTGCATGGTCTGGTCAGACTTCACGCAGACTTAGTAAGTATTATCTGGAGGAGTTGTTTACTTACCCGCAATTAGGCCGGGGGTTGTTCCAGTAGGGTTTGCTGGATCCAGACTCGTTCCCCCCAGTGCGGGGAATCGTTCCTGTAGGGTTGAGTGACTGGTCTATGCGAAATAGTTGAGTTATAGTTCTTGTCCATTCCAAACGAAATGCCCTTATGACAGACAAATTCCTGTACTGTATAGCTTGATATTTTATTTATTCTCTGACTTTCGCATTGACATTGACTCACAACTAATTCTAAACCTCGTCGCTTTGACCTGGAGCAGGAAACCTTTCCTGCAGGGTCACACCGCTGCACACGAACTGTCTTTCGTCGCAGTGCGGGGAACTATTCCGGCAATCCGCAACCCCAAACCCTGAACCGAAAAGCCTCAACACCTAACCCTCAACCCTGGGCCCTGAACATATATAAACCTTTTGCTGCTATAATACCTGGAACGTTGCTTTCGGGTTTCGGAGTCCGCACGAAGTAGTTCAACATTCCTCAACGGTCACAAATGTACTATTTGACATAATAATTACATAATAGTGCTTTTGCTGACTGGGGCACAGACAAACCTCCGTACCCTCAGCTGTTAGACTGAGTCAAAGAGATGTGTTCCTTCTGCATCGGAATAAATCTGCAGAAGGTGATAGGCCCTGAAAGTCTGCAAATCAAGCAGGTGCAAGGCTTCCTTGGTTGGTTGCACAATGAGAAGATGATAGGGATTCTTCGTATGTACACGTACATAGAAGCAGGCGATAGACTTTGGGGTTGCGCCTGCAAAAGGTGATATAGGTGTTAAGTTTATTATCGAAAAACATGGTCGGATTTTGGGCTGGCGCCTGCACAAGGTGATAGGCTGTCTGTTATTCCGAGAGAAATAGCTCTTGAGGGCTTCTAGTTGCCACCACGGGGTAAGCATGAGCTCCTTACCTCCAAACCCCTTAACCCTAAACTCCTGAACACTAGCAGTCCTAGTAAGTAGTAGAAGTCGTCGTCGTAGTAGTAGTAGTAGTAGTAGTAGTAATAGTAGTAGTAGTAGTAGTAGTAGTAGTAGTAGTAGTAGTAGTAGTAGTAGTACTAAGAGGAGTCGTAGTAGTAGTAGTAGTAGTAGTAGTAGTAGTAGTCATAGTCTAGTAGTAGTAGTAGTAGTAGTAGGAGTAGTAGTAGTAGTCGTAGTAGTAGTAGTAGTAGCAGGAGGAGGAGGAGTAGTAGTACTAGTAGTACTAGTAGTAGTCGTCGTATTAGTAGT